TGGGCACTTGTAAATTCGGCGAAGATAAACCCGATAGAAATTAGTTTAAATAGGGGAATGGTGAACCCTGAATAAAAAAGGGAAGTCATTTTGGTGTACAAAGAATATGATTTGGTTAGAAAAAGATGAGGTGTGCCATTTATTGGTAAATGCGCAGAATAGCGTGTTAATGTTTTCATAATGCAGATTAGACAACTGCATTCATGATTTTCTAATGGTTCATTCACTAAGGCCTTGTTTGGTTTGATGTAAAACATTTTCAATGGAAAATTAGTTTTATGGAAAAATATATTTTCAAGTAAAAGCACAATTGCAAATTAGTTTTCCTTAGTTTGGTTGTATACGAGGAAAGTTAAAGAAAAATCAAAAATAGGAATGGGAATGTGAGGATAGATAAAAGGGAAGTAAAAGGGAGGTAAGGAGGAGGGATGAAAATGTGCTTCCCTTGTTTTGTAAAGGAAAACGTTTTTTATCGTTAAGGATGCAATTATCCACCGTTGGGAATATTGTTTTCCACCCCTTCACAAACCTAACAAAGGAAAATGGAAATAAAAGGGAAAATCATTTTCCATGAAAACATTTTACATCAAACCAATCAGGGCCTAAGTGTCTTTCCTGCCTTGATTTTGTTGACGCACTAGTGATTATGCAAAGTCTCGGTCATAAATCTGATGCATGAGCATAATTGGAACTGAAAATCCTTAAGACCATCCAACATGTTTGATATCTACAACCTAGTACATGGACAAAATGGACGCAGGTAAATAATTACTATCTTGCTGTATGCTCTACAACATTTAAACATAGCATCTTCACATGTGAATATCCGGATTTAACTTTTAAGAGGTGTTGGTAGACTTCGAGTAATGAAGTTTCGGGTCAAGTATCTCTAAAGGAAAATTAAGTAAGAGCATAATGTTAATGTTAGAAATGACTCTTGTGACTTGTGAGTGATCATTTCTTGTTTACCTTTGTTCATTCTGCCTACTATTCTCCTCTTGTAGGTGACTCAAAAATTTTAAGCTACCCTTTATAAACACTTTAGGAATTTTTGCTGCCTAAAAATTCAACAAAACCATCAGCTTTGGGATCCTAATAGATTTTGACATTACCGAATTCTTGGGCCTTGTTTATCAATTTGATATCATTGTGCAGAAGGTAGTATATTCAATTAGCACTTAGAAGACTTTACTAGTAACTAGTAAGCTGGGTTAGTAGGTTTGCTAGCCGTAACCCCCGTAAGTAGACTATATAAACGGTGTTTGGTGATTAGTAAAATAATAACTACGTGGTCTACGCCGGCTTTCGCTTTTGAAATCCAGAAACTGAAATGCTGGAAGAATGAGCGTTTGCAAATTAGCATACTTGGGACCAATATACATAGTAAATATTCTCTCAATCTAGTTTTGTCTATGGTAGGTGATTGCTTCCATAGCTGTCCTATGTTCTCTCCACTCAATTCCCTCTTTACCCACATGCCTCTATCTCATATAATTTCTCTCTCCTCTTTCCCTATTTTCTAACGTGTACATTTTTCCTGCTCTTGAATTGATCTATGAGTTGGGATTCAATTTTACTTTTTGTTTTGAGGATATTTCTTTAGTTGGTGTTGAGGTTATTCTTATGCTAAAAAAGGTTTCTTGTGCTAAATATGTAATCATCCCTTTTTTGCTTCTTGAATCTTGAGTAGGAATTAGCTTTTTGTTCTACACCTAATTATTTAATCGAGCTTATGAGATTGTAATAGATGATTTGAATAATTAGGGGTTACATTATGTTGGGTTGGTGAAGGATGTGTTAGCCTGAACAACCTGGTTATTTGGTGAGGCTATTGTAGAAAACAAGGGAATTTCTCGATGGTAACCCTTCGGTTCTTTAACCAAAAAAAAAAAAAAAAAACCCCTTCAATTATACATGAACATGTGGCTTAATAAAGGTTATTTCCTTTATAAATTGTTTTTCATTTGTGTCTCTTTAAAAAACCTGAATGAAATAGGATTTCAATGAGAAATGAAGGAATAACAATTTTTTCAATGGAAACTTATGTCATTTTATTTTTTTAAGAACCTTAATTAGTTTGAAAACAAACCTTTTAGCCAATTTTTAGAACGGAAAAAGTTATTAATATCACATTTTCAAGTACAACTAAAATCACAGGGTTACCAATTGAGAATTAAAATTAAGTTTGGTTACCAAAGAGAAAATCCAAAACATATGATTATTGTACTTCAAGTAGTTCTGATCCAAAAAAGTTATTAATATCATGAATTATGTTATTAGAACAATAGAGTTGTTTTTTTTTCAAGTAGTTCTGATGCTAAATATATGGCTCTTATTATGGTTATTGTTAAGAGCGATTAATCAAATTTGCACGAAAATAAGGAAGTTAGCTATAACCAATTATCAAATGTGTTTGAAAAATTAACTACCAGCTTGTTATCCAAGTACTCCATCCAATCTCGAAAGTTTGACTTGCTTTATGTTTTGGTCTGTCTAGAAAGCAAGACTCAATTTTACTTTATTCTATTTTTGGCAATCTCCTATTACTAGTTAACCCCCCTTTACTCCACAGTTTATGCACCTTTCCAATTTACAATTACTCTCTTACATTATCCAATTCTTTCTTACACCTACCTACCTTTTTACTCCAGCTCTTTTACTCTAATTACCTTTTTCATGCACCCACTCACTTTTTCTTAACTTTCCTGTAGACAAGAGTTGTACATTGTGAAATGGAGAAAGTAATCATATACTTGGGCTGTGTTGTCATGTAGACTTCACTTGCAAAAATTGAGTTAGTAGGCTTGTTGGGAGTATGTTGACAAAACCATCTAAAAGGTCTTTAGTATGTTAGCAATTTGACAACTACATTGGCTTTTACTTTTGAATTATAGTAATTGTCATGTTGATAGCTTATAGAAAGTGCTTTAGAAAATTAGCATATTGTGACATTCATGCTGATAAGTATTCACTCCATCAAGCACGTCAATTGCCATATTTAGGTGATCAAACATGCAAATTGTTCCCACTTTACCGATAGCAAAGTATTACTCCGTCAAAATGCTGAGTACCTCCTTAGCTTAGTTGGTATAGCATCTTTGCCTCATTTACTCATGGTTTCACTACCTTATATTCTCTTAACCTAGTATAAAGATGAAAGGAAAAAGTATTGGCAAAAATTACACCTGGTGACCAACTTTAGGGTGTGGCTATATATATTGAATTTGACTTCTACGACCCGTTGGATTTACACCAACTTGGCGAAAAGAACAAAATTTACATGAATAATATTATATTGGGACCTATTCGCCAGAAAGTTATTTTTTACCATTTAAAAATCCTTCTAAGCATTTTAAATAAAAGGTGAATATATATTTAATGAATTCAATCACCTAAATAAAATTTAAAAAATACCCCACCTAAGGTAAGTTTGTATGTGCTTAAAAAGTTCCTGTGTTTTAACTCATTGAAATTATCTTCTCACTTTTTATTTTAATTAAAATACTAAGATTTGTTTTAAAATGGCATCAAAAACAACTTTCTAGCAAATGGGTCGCACGCTGGTTTAAATATGTCAACTTTGTTTTTAGCCAGTAGGAACTATTTGATAATTGGCACAAGCTAGAGTCAATAAATTTAACACACCCCAAAGTTGGTGTCAATGGATGTACCATAAGTATATCATTAAATGTGTGTTGTGTTCTTGTTTGATTTATACAGAAAGACCCATGGTTACTCATAAAAGTTGGAAGATGCATAAATTCATAAAATCTTTGTCTGTTCCATTTTTTTGGTGGTACTTTTTATTTTTATCCATTCTTTTTGTTGGTTACACTTTTTCTTTTATCCTATTTTGGCAGACTTTCAGTGCATTAACTCATCTACAACCACTCTACTCTTTCTTAACAAAACCCACTTACAACACTATCTCTCCTACTCCTAATACACATATCCCACCTTTCACATTCCCTTTCCACCTCTCATTGGTCTATGGTATGCACATGAAGTATTACTAACATATAAAACCGAAGGCAGTCTTAACTGATAATCCTATCATAGTTTTGAAATTGTGAAAGGCCGTAATCTACTTTTTCCAACCTCTTGTATCTTCTCATGTGCATTCATTTTGTTTCTGTGGTTAGTTCAGTTGTCTTTGACATGTTGTGTGGTTGGAGGGTCGAGAAGGGTGTAAAAATAGTTGTAGAATATATTGGATAGGAGGATAATGTTATATTGTCTGCTTCTGTGTGTCTGTTGGCCCTGACTGTCATTACATAAGAGACATTTAAGGCTGTGAATATTGTTTGTTGTATTTGGTGATTTTCATTTTCAAAATGCCTGAGTTTTTTGAGTGTGACCATCAGTGTGTCCAAATGCCGATATGTACATCATTATAGGACACTCCTATATGCCATTATACAGTCAATCTTGGTAACGTTGATGATGTTTTAGTGAACTAAGGGCAATGTACATGTTTTGACTTTGGTCTTTAGTATCTATATTTTTTTGTATGAATATCATATTGAATGAAGAAGGGACCAGAATTTTCTAGAATTCGATAATATCTGACTGAAAGAGCTTGGTGAAGCAAGTGGAACTAATTCCATGTTTGAATGATGACCTGTTAAGAGATCAAACCTGTACCATGGCCTGTAGGTGTCTTTCTCTTCTGATATGGTCCGCTATTTACTTGAAATATTGTGTTTTTCTTGTCAGGACGTTATGTTTCTCCTTTTGCTGCTGAAATGGTGAGACTTAGTTTGTCCTTGCCTTTTGACTGTGTAATTGGTGGCATACCTATATTTTCTATACCGACTCTCATAAGTAACATTAATTTTTACTGAGAATCCTCAATTTGTGTTGACATATTCTTATACAAACCTAGTCTCTGGAATTCTAGGTTTTGGTATTTACACATTGATACACTAAATTAGGGATATTCTCAATGGTATCCCCCAACTTCTGCTACGCACCAATAGTAACCCCTTTTTTTTGGATTATACAAAATGACCTTAGTTAAAAATTTCATCCCACTCATAACCTTATTTCATTAAATATTAACTATGGTTATATTTATATTATTTTGAAAAAAAGAAAAATTTAAAATTTAATCACAACCCCCAATCCCCATTGATTCCGGCCAACCTCTCCTCCTTCCCCTCACTTTCCACCGTTCCGGCCAGCCCCCCTCCCTTTCCTCCTTAACCCCGCCGCGACCATCCACCGTCGGCTAAACCCTTAACCGGAAAAACCCTGATAGCCGTAGTAGGCAATTTCATTCCATATCCAATGGCTCGATGACAACGGAGTTCAGGTATGAAAACCTTACCGATTATGACATCTTGCCTTCAATGGATTGGAGAGAACAAGGAGCTGTTACAGGGATAAAGTACCAAGGCCAATGTGGTATGAAATTAAACTATAAGTTACTTTATATATATGCATTTTCTTAAAATTGATTTTTGATTTAGTCATTATGCTTAAAAATTACAGAGGGTTGCTGGGCATTTTCGGCGGTTGCGGCAGTAGAAGGACTAAATAGAATAAAATTTGGACAATTAATCTCACTATCAGAGGAAGAACTCATTGATTGTGTTCAAGAAGACGGTTGTCGTGGCGGTGATGTCTCGAAAGCTTACACATCCATCCAACAAACCCAAGGCATAACAACTGAAGATGAGTACCCTATCAGGGTCGGCCATTGCGTGGGAGGGGGATAGATCGGCGGCGCAGGGGAGGAGGCTGTGTCAGCCGCACTCCGGGGAGGGCTACTGGAGGGTTGGCGTGGGGGTTGAAGTTGGGGTGGGCTGGTTATTATTCTTTTTTTTTTTTTTAGTTTTTTTTAATATATATATATATATATATATATATATATATTTTCAAAGTTAACCATAGTTAGCTTTTTTTTTTAAATAAATAACACTCATTAATGTCATATGTGAGATAAATTTCATAATTAGGGTCATTTTGTATAATCCAAAAAAAGGGGGTTACTGTTGGTGCGTAGCAGAAGTTGGGGCTTACCGTTGAGAATATCCCAATTTTGATTGATGATAAATAAATGTTTTTTATGTTTTGAAGTAAAACACAAGGAAACAAGGAAGTTCAAATCAGTCTTCAGTCCAGTCCGAAGCCAGGCCTCAAATATTGGTGTTGGATCAAGTGACTTTGATGGAAGAGAGGAGTTTAATAGTCAGAATATAACTTCAAATGGCTCATCCACTGAAAGTTCCTCTCAAATGTAAGTATCAGTTGTCATTGTTGCAAGCTTGCAACCAATTAAGCTTTTATTTGTAATCTTTATGTCATAAAAAGTTTGTATCAGTTTTCGTTGTTGCAAGTTTGCAACCAAGTAAGCTGTTGTTTGTAGTCTGTATGTCATAAACAGTTGTGTTTATTTGAAAACACATATGACTGACATGCATCACCTAATAATAAATAAGCCTATAGTCCACTAACAAGGTGGTGAGGGAAGTAGGGTCGTACAATGTCTTTTTGATCCTATTATATATGCGGTCCAGTGTTTTGATGCTGGAATAATTGAAACTAAGACAATAATTGAATAGGGAATAATCAATACCAAGGCCTTGTTTGGTTGACAACATAAAATGGGAAAAGTGAAAATTCATGGAAATTGATAAGTTGGATAGTTGTTTGGTTGACATACAAAAGCAAAAATTGAGGAAGTGGGAATTCATGGAAATTTCAACTTCCTACAAAATATGAAAAGTAAATTACCAAGCCCCTTGGTTAATCAGGTTTCATGGGAATTTGAAACCCCCCCTCCCTTTGTCTTCCCCAATTCTTCACTTTCTCTCTCTACTTTCCAAACCCTAACTTCTCAACTTACATACTTTAAATCTCTCACCCTTTCTTCGTCTCTCAAATTCTCAAACTTTGTTAAATCTACTATCTTAATGCACTCTATTTTATCCTCGTTCTCTAAAGTCTTACAAGTTTCAAATATTCCAAAGAGATTAACTTTCAAGAATTCAAATATGGCACCAAAAAGATCAAAAATGGGTTTGAGAGTCCGAGATAACCACAATGGGAGATTCAACAAGACCCAGACTAGATTTTTAGGACATAGTCATCGACACTGCAGACTAAAGGGTACTTCTCGATCATTATTAGTTTTAAAAAGCATAAGGCACACAGAGAGCCTAGGCACTAGGCACAAAGTGCATGCACGCGCCTTCCATAAATGAGGCACCATTTTTTTTTTAATTAATTAATTTATTTATATACTGCTTTCTAAGTATTAAATATGTCAAAAAAAAAAAACTCAAATTTAATCTTTAAAACTGATTTACAATAAACTTTTTTATTTTTTTTTTTATTTTTTTTTGTAAATAAAAAAAACAATCAGAAAAGAGAGGGAGTTTAAAGTTGAAAGTTCTAGATCCTCTTAGAGGGTAAAAAAAAATTCATAATTGTCAATTAATTCCTACTCGTTTCATTCATAGAAATCCTTTAAATGATATGGAAATTGATGATGAGGTAAAAATGTTGTTTGCTCAATGTTTAGTTTGTCTTGTTACACTTTTTCCCTAATTACTTACAGTATGAATTTTTGAGCTCTTAAGTGTTGTGAAATCTAGAGGTGATGACATTACCTTGTACTTTAAACTAATGAATAGAAATATTAATATGAGTTTGAATGAGTTTGCACGAATTTTTGGCCTAAGCGATAATTTTATTCACAAATCGCTGCCCGAATATATCGTCATAAGAGAACTGTGACTCCCTCCATCATCTATATGCCACTCGAATCCACCACCTTGTCTCTAAGGTTTGGCACTGGTTTGCCGGCTTTACTATTTTTAGGAGGCATGAGCCTCAAAATGTTCATAGTGAGGAATTGGCCATTTTCGGTAGTTATGTTTACCGAACAACTAACCATACAAAATTAATTTTGCGCCCCAACTTGCAGTCCACCATAAGGAGATAGCTAAGGCACCTCACTGCTGTCCCATTTACTTGGGTGGCTTGATCACCCACATTGCTTGTGCTAAGATCGGTTTCGTTGAAACTGAGCATGTACTGGTCCCGGTCCTATCCAATTCGATCTAGCCTATTACAATAGTGTACATGGGTTTGTAATAACTGTACTCCTACAAAGCAATAAAAACTAAGCTAATTGCATCTAAGGATATACTAAGGTCTATCAAAGTAAATACAATTTCTCACTATCATTAGATTCCTCAAATGACTTCTTTATATCTCTGTGTAGGAGTCATTTTTACTCTATTAATAATTATGGCATTCCTCCAGACCCAAATGCTATAAATTGCTTCAGCCATAGCCATCAAATAAAATTACTAGTTGCACTAGTTTTTTTGGCAATCTTAATTGCAATATGCACTTCTTCTCTGAAAGACTTCATCTGCCTTATCACCTGCAACACATTGAGCAATTATTTCCAGACTTCAGCTGATGAGCTGAGAGAGAGCAAGAGAAGAACTAATGTTCAATGCTCCCTGGAGCCTGATCATATAACTGCAGCTTTGCACACATTCAATGCCCCAACTAGTGATTCTGTCTTTAGTGGGTAGTATAATATTCAGATAGTATTAATATGTGCGCATAACATAGTGTAGTTCAAGTTTTTTAATTATGTATATTAGATTATACTTGGGGAAAAAAAAACCTTCATGGCTCCTTGTTACTTTTTCTTACCTATATAGACAACTTAGGGGGTGTTTGATTGGGGCTTTTGGAATGGATTGGAATAATGTCAAATCCATTCCAATGTTCAGTCGGGCATTTAATGATGTGGAATATCATAATATTTGTATCTAACTCGATTCCAACCCCCTAAAATCTCATACCTAACTCACCCTCTTAAGATTCTAAAATCTAAATTCATACCATTATGTATGGGATCCCAATCCATTCCATTCTATTAGAGAGAGAATAGTGGGTGTATATTTTTAATTAGAAAGTAAGGGATGTGAGAGAAAAGTAACGAAAAATTTGAGAGTATGGACCATAAGATGAGAGATTTCATAATTAAAAAAATGTAGAAGATTTCCATTTGAAGGAGTATATATTAGATAATAGGTCACTCTTGCATTGAGCTCTTTAAACATATAAAATGTTTGATGCTAATCATGTATGGTCTCCTTTTCAGCTCTTCCGATCGGAGAGTATGCTGTTGTGACTCTTCTGCTATTCTTTGGCTTGAAGTCAATCAAAGATGCATGGGACCTTCCAGCAGATGATTCCAAAGATGAAAATAAAGATGGCTCTGAACTTGGTGAATATACTGAGGCTGAGGAGCTTGTGAAGGTGAATTTCAAAACACCGAATTTTATTTTCACGATACTTATAGATCGCATATTTTTATTCTTAAAAAAACATCGTAACTCTCACTTCTTTTTAAGCTTACTATTACCTCTGTCTCATTTGCACCATTTCTGAATTAATAAATTTATTGCTCTAGTACTGGACCCTTAGGCTCTCAAGTGAATCTCTTTGACTCCATTGTGTCCAATTAATTATATTTTCCTTCAAAGTTTCTAATTAGGACTTTGTTTGCTTGAACATAACAAATTAAATTCACTACTTTTTATTGGGTTTACCATTGTTTCGTTTACTTTGTTTAATCTATATCAAGTATATAGATTAGATCTTATAAATTTATTAGCCCCCTCCCTCCGAGGATTAACTTCACTGTAATGACACAATGGAGTTCTTGCTGCAAAACCAAACTTCTCTAATCATCCTACCCCCCCCCCCCCCTCCCTAAAAAAAATCCTAAAAGGTGAAAAAGTTGTAATGATAATCATTGCATTAGTGACTGAGCCTATTTTTACTGTGCAGGCTTCAAAACGACTGACAAACCCATTTGAAATTATGTGGAAGTCATTCTGCCTTGTGTTCTTTGCAGTGAGTATATAATCGATCGTAAGTAGCTGTATTTATAATAATTTCATTTTGCTGAAACATGCTTACACTTTTGTTTCTGAAGGAATGGGGTGATCGCTCAATGCTTGCTACCATCGCCCTTGGTGCTGCACAGGTACGATATAGAACTAGCATTCATATGTATAAACTTGTATGCATCCATAAGTTTTACAATTATATCTTAATTACTTAACTTTCAGTCTCCATGGGGCGTGGCAAGTGGAGCCATAGTGGGACACCTAGTTGCCACATCTGTTGCAATTCTTGGAGGAGCATTTCTTGCCAAATACATTTCTGAAAAGCTGGTAGGTCACTGAAATGTTTCTGCTGTTAAATTGTGCTATCTTGCTGCTCTTATTTATCATGCTCACTATATTTCCCTTTAGGTTGGCTACTTGGGAGGAGTCCTATTTCTTCTTTTTGCTGTAGCAACATTCTTTGGATTCTTTTAGTTCCTCGTGCCATAACAGAGTCGAAGGATATTTTCCAAGATATTATATTCAAAGTGTTTATCTTCAAAAAGGAAATCTTCAGAAGATTTGTTCCCCAGATCAGGAACTCCTCCCCACTGACACATTAGTTGGATCGTGCAAGTAGAATCTATCAGCTTTATAGCCAGCTTGGAAATGTTCATACAAGTTACGCCATGCCAATTCAGCTACAGAGCACCTTAAGTAGGAAATTTGACAAATTCCAATAACTAGGTAAACAAAGTGAAACCTGTGAAGTATAGGTATTCATTGTTACTAATAAAATTTTTGTGCCTTCCTATGTATGACATTTATTTAAATTGCCATCTTGCGACAACCATTTTTGTATACATAATGATTTACCATGAAAAAACAAATACTAAAGTGGTGTTCGGAAATGGGGGCAAATGCTTTGGCTAGAATGTCTGGTTTCAAGGTTTAGATCATGGCATAATCAATTTTAACTCATAATCACTTAAGTTGATACACGACGGTTGTGAGTTACATGAGAATGTGAAGGCCTTATTAGAGAAGCTTGGACAAGGGAAGAGATGATTAATACTTTGCCATTCCACTTGAACAGGGCGCAAGATTTATAGGTGAAAACTCTTGTTGATCAAAAGGAGGTCTGGTAGGAAGTTTGAGGTGGAAATCTGAGTCAGGCTTACTATTAGCTGGTCTCGAGACTAGCTGTAATACTTCCTCCATTCTATTAATATTGTAACAAGGATGAAATCACACATCTCAATTCACATTTTATATGTTAAATATCTATAATTCTATAAGCATAAAAATTATAAAAAGTTGATATTGTGTATGTATTTTACGAGACGAATCTAACAAGATCCCACATGAATATATTTTACTTATATAAGTCATAACATGTGGTCAAACAAGCATGATAAATAGTGCAAAAGTCCAGTTGTTGCAATATTATTAGAACGGAGGAAGTAATATGGTTCCTCACTCTCACTATTGATTTGTATTTTTTCATTTTTCAAAAACTAAATGTAGTCATTTTTTCTCTCTAACAGCCCACATTATCTCTCTATTTCCTCCCAAGAACACCATTATCAATCTTCAAAAAATTTAAGATCTCAAATTTTGTGTTATCAAAAACTACTAAATCATGGATATTCAACAAAAAAAATTCAAGGTGCAAACAAAGAGTTTTAATTTTTACTATTTTCTTCTATATTTCATAATACTAGAGAAAATTTGTTGAATAATTAGCGGCTATTTCACCAAATCACTTTAATAATTCACCAAATACCATCAAGGTTTCAAAATTCACCAAATGCCACCGAGTTTTAAAAAAATTCACCGAGTGCCATTAATGACTGACGGTCGTTTGGCCGTCAGTTGACCCCACCACTTGCCACGTGTCACCTTATGATTGGTCCGTTTTTTAAAAAAAATTATTAAACAAAAATTAAAAAAAAATAAAAAAAAAACCAAAAATATTTAAAAAAAAATTAAAAAAAAAAGAATAAAAAAAGAAAAGAAAACCACCAAATCCCCACCCACCACCCCACCCCTTCTACCACCCTCATCGGCAGCTAGGCCGCCCACCCCACCCTAAACCCCTCCCTGCCGCCGAAGAACGAAGCCCCTACCGCCGGCGACCCTCATCGGCAAGCGTGTCGACGGCCCTGCCCCTACCTCATTCCCTCTCCGTTATCTTTTCACCACCATTAAAACCCACGTTCAAGCTCGAAGGTAAGAACATAACATGCTCATTTCTTCACCATTTTCTACAAAATTACTATCAAAATGCTCACAGTCAAGAATGCAACAACATGGGACAAACAATTTCATCAAACAAGCATAACACGAGAAAGCCCCAAATCAATTTTTCAAAGGGGGTTTTCAAATTTTTCACAAATTTGCATGAAATTTGACAATGAAGCAAGGATTATACATGGAAATACTTACATTGCAATGAGAAGAAGAAATTACACACAAATTGCAAAGAAAACTAGCGGAATTTGAGCCAAAAAACGAGCACCCACGAATCGAAAAGGGTCGGGTTGTGTGGGTGGGTGGCCGGAAACGAAAAGGGGAGGAGAAGGGTGTTTTGGGTGGGGTGGCCGAAAAACGAAAAGGGGAGGGGAATGGGGTATTGGGTGGGGTTGCCGGAGTTGAAAAGGGGAGGGGAATGGCTGGGAGGCTGCCAAACTTTCGCTCTCCTCTTCGCTGTGCTTCTCCCTTCCCTTCCCCTTCCCGGCGGTAGGGGGCTGGCTCCCTAGCGGTTGACTATTTTTTTTTGTTATTTTAAGATTTTTTTTAAAAAATTGAACCAATCATATCATGACATGTGTCATGATTAAACCCTAATGACTAAACGGAGTTAACGGTCTTCAGTCATTAATGGCACTCGGTGAATTTTTTTAAAACTCGATGGCATTTGGTGAATTTTGAAAACCTTGATGACATTTGGTGAATTATTAAAGTGTTCAATGTCATTTGGTGAAATAGCCGAATAATTAGCTATTGAAGAGTATATTCATAATGTTCAGAACAAATTTGTGAATAATTAGCTATTGAAGAGTATATTCATAATGTTCAGATTAATACTAATTTTGCTCTAGTATTATAAAATATAGAAGAAAATAGTAAAATTACCTTTCTGTAAAGGTTATTATTACAGTTCTTTTTTTCACCTTGGATTTTTTTGTTGAATATCCATGGTTTAGTAGTTTTTGATACCACAAATTTGATATCTTAAATTTTTTGAAGATTGATAATGGTGTTTGTGAGAGGAAATAGAAAAAGAAAATGACTGCATTTGGTTTTTGAAAAATGAAAAAGCACAAATCAATAATGAGAGTGAGGAACATCAATGTTTATTTGATGCACCCTGGTACTAGGTGCACAACGTTTATGATATGAACATTTAATAAAAAAAAATATGAACACATTACAAATAATGAACATTTAGTAAAAAAAAATATTAACATGCGCGTTACCAAAAATGAATATTTAGTAAAAAAAAAATTATGAACATGCCACATAAAAAAATGGACATTAAGTAATAAAATATGAACATGTAATTTTAGTAATAAAAAACGAACGATTAGTAAGCTAGAAATGAATATGATCATGCCATATAAAATGATCATTTAGTAAAAAAAAAATAATGAACAATTAGTAATAAAATAATGAGCACGTAAAGACAATGAACATTACACATTATAGTTATAAAAATGAACATAAACATCCAATTTTATAAGTTCATATTTATAAAAAAAGTTCAATTTATATGCACTAAATGTTCAGTTTATATTACAAAAGTATTGAATTATATCGAATCAGACTAAATTCTTTCAAAAAATTGAAGTTCATTATAAAATAGTGTTGTGTTCATATTTAAAATTTCAATGTTTATTTTCAAATAATATATGTTCAAATTCGAGTAGTGTCATGTTCATATTTATTGATGCTCATTGTAAAATAGTGTAATGATTATATTTAAAAATTTCAATGTTTATTTTCAAAAATAATATGTTCAAATTCTAATAGTGTCATATTCATATTTTATATATTTATCTTCAGAAACTATAGTTTAAAATTTTATATATATAATTGTTAACGAAAAATAGATCATATTAATTCATTATAAATTCTTTTATGTTCATTATAATGTGCTAAATGTTCATTTGAAAAATACTAATTGTTCATTTTATATATCAAATTCCAATTGAGGTTCATAAGTCCTTAACCCAAATTAACTTATGTTTATATAATAATCTAACTCAAATGTTCATAAAAAAGATATACATGTCCAGATATCTAACATAATATGTTCATAATTACAAATATTAAAAATGTTTTAAAAATACATAAATCGAAAACAAAATAAACTTTTGTATGCAAATAATCAAATGTTTAGATATATAAATTATAAATTACAAAATGCCAAAATTTTAAAAATGATTAAAAATACATAGATCTAAAACAAAAATAAAAGTTCATAAGAAATGAATCACATGTTCAGAATTATAATTAAGATGTTCAAAATTCCAAAAATATATATCGATAAAAATAAATATTTATAGGAAACGTATCATATGTTCATATTTTTAACTTAAAATGTTCAAAAATACCAAAATGTAACCAAATATAGATTTTTTCATAATAAAATACACAAATATCACACAAACTCAAGCATTGATTAAATCTAACTAGATCAAAACATCATAAATAATTTTGACTTAGCTACACCAACTATATGAAGAGTTCAAAGATGAATTTGGCATAACAATTAACAAAAGATATTCTAAAACTCATCCTCTAACCTAGCGATGGCGATTTAAACAACGGAATCTCATCAGAAAATGATCTTCTCCACCGTCTTAACCACCTTCTCGCCAAAATTGCCATTTTCGGCTTCACTTCGTTGTAGAGACTAGCTCCATTAACAAAGATTTAATTCTTTAAATCGAAGGTTGGACAAAAAGAAATTTGAATTTGATTTCTAGAAATTATTGAAAGAGAAAGAAGAGAACAAGATGAGGAAATTTTTAGTAGTGTGAGGAGAAGAGAGATTGAGGTACTTTTTTGTTGTTTAGAGAGCCACAAGGGCGAGTGATGAGTGATGAGATTCGATCCCAAAATTACCTAAAACCGAGAGGAGAACTCTAACCATCTGAGCTATCCCTCACTTTCAGAATTGTGGTATAAATGTGTAAAAAATCTAGAAAGTAAATAATCAGGTTGGAGGAGAAGGAAAAACCCCAACTTAATATAATACAATGTAATTTTGGAGTGGTGGACCACCTAAAAATAGGTGAAGCAGAGTTCATCTAAAAATTTGCAGTCCAAAATGGCATGTATTGGGCTTTTCCAACGAGTTTGGGAAGCAATACTATGCCCCAATGGTCAAGAGGTCCTAAACCCATAACTAATATATTTATAGCTACTATAAATAGTGCTCAGGAGCAAATCCCAAGGACCAAGGTATGTTCAATTTTTCTATTTGTTCGTACTTATCGAGAAAGATTACAAGCGTTTTTCTTTCTCAAGAACTCGTAACTAACTTCGAGTATTCTTAGACACCCCTCGAGCTTAGTTAACTATATTAGGTGATCATGATTCAAGCCTAAGATGTTCCTGACTAGTCAAGAAATAAACTCTTGATTTGGTGATTATACTCGAAACAACACTCATATGGACACAGCTGAGCGAAGAATGGGACCAAAGAATTTTTTATCATCCAAGTATTTGGTCCATAATAAGTAATAAAGCTATAAATGAAGGTCCGGGAATACTTCATCTAGCCTTTCATGATTCACAATTGAAACAGTTGAGAGATTTTATTCTTACAACAATGCATCCTTCATGTTT